CGAGGTTGAGAGTTAAGTAATTACACTCATCTCGGACGGAGCATTGAGATAATCTTTGATTGTACCCCCATTACTGGATGGGGTATGGGAATGACCGATGATTCACAACGAAAATGTTTATATACCCACGTGTAGCAAGAAGCCTTATGAGCCCCCAGCAATACCGGTAGTAAAAAAATAATAAAAATAGTAAAATAGAAATGGAGACGGTAAGTGACCCTAGTTGGATAAAATGATAGGAACCTAAGGACATATATTCACTGAATTGTATGGCTATTAGAATTTAGTTATATTTTGATTGTATCTTAGTGTATGTGTTTAGAATATTGTTAGTTAAAAAAAGAAAAAAATAAAATAATATTTTCAGTAAAATAGATAAGGAATGCATTAGCATTCAGATTTCATTAAAAATATGCTCTATTGGTCGTTTTATATTTTTTATAATTCTTTGATTTTCCATGTCAGTGATAAAGAGTTGATATATTTACTGAATTAGCGTAGTTCACCAATTTTCTATTAACTATTTCAAATCAGGATGACCAAGACTCAGATCTTGAGCAGAAAGAAACTAGTTAAGCAATTATCACTTTCTATTTTGCTAAATTCGAGTCGAGGTTGATAATTACTTTGTAGTGATTTCTCGTTTTAAATTCTGAATATTCATTTAGCCCTATTTGGGCATTTTAAGTAAACGTGTAAAAAATATAATCTTTGAACCTTTAACTATCATGCTCTATAAAAATTTCAATATTATTTATATTATTATTATAACCAAGTTAAATGCTAAATTTTTTTTTATAGGAGTTTGGACTTTTACAGGTTGGATGGTCTCTATAGAAATATTGGATGTTGCTCGGTTATTCAAGTTGAGCTTTGGGGAGCATTGGATGGTTTGAAGCTTGCTTAAGAGATGGGTCATATATAAATTTTCTTGGACATGGATAGTAAACTGGTGGTTGAGTCGCTAAACAAGTCTACAATTAACGCCTTTACTAATTTCAGTTTAATATTAACTATTAAGGATCTTGTGAATAAGGATTGAGATGTAAAAATTCAGCATGCGTTTAGGGAAGAAAACCGTTATGCATAATGGTTAGCTAACCAAGCCTTCTCCTTGCCTCAAGGTTGCCATTGCTGTTCTGAAGTCCCTACAAGCCTTTCAAGCTTCCTAAGAGAGGATTTAATGGGAGTTGTCTGGCTAAGGATGTGTTATTCTTATTTTTTTATTTTTTTTTGTTTATGTTTAGACTTTGGACTCCCTTTGTATTTGAAAAAAAGAAGAAATAAATTACTACAAAATAATTGTAGGTGATTGGTTTATAATATTCATAGTGAACAAATATAGTTTTTGTAGATTTTTTATTAATCTTTTTCTTTTTTGAGATAATCTAATTCATAATGAATATAAAATAAATCAAATATACTTAATATGTATTTTATCAAAGGAAAAACAACTATAATATAATTTGTATTAGAAGAAATTAACTAACGATACACTTTCCCTATCTTTGTTTGTATTGAGCAAATGTATAATTGTTGTTTGAAAATCAAAAAAATAAATTTGACATTGAAGAAAGAAACTAAAGCAATTTCTTTACATATATTTCATAAAATAACCTAAAGTTCGAACTAAATATAGCATTCAAATTCTCTTATAGCGAAAAAAAAAAAAAAAAAACTAAAGAGAGAAGAAGAAAGAAAAAATTCATAACAGGTTATTTCGGGCTAGTCTCAAGAACATATCAAAGAATTCAATTTCGTATTCGAGATCCAGAGGTCAATTGATCTTAGAATTGAGACAACTATCGTCGTTTGTAAATTTCTTGAAGAATATATAAACTAAAGATCATATTAAATCTACTAATCAAAATTTTTTTTTAAAGAAAGGAAAAAACTATATCAAATTCTCCTCGGTGAGTTTGAAATAAGATACACTTGATGAAAAATAAAAGTTTGAAATGAAATGAAATGAATTGCCCAAATGTATATTAGTATTAATTTTCACAGTTTACCCATAATTTATACAAATGAATTTAATAAATTGTGGAAAATTAAACAACTCTAATAATAAGATTTTAATAGTATACAATACTATAAGGAATAAAATTTCTAGAATAATTTTTATAAAAATAATTAATTTGCTCTAGAAATACATACCCTATAAAAGACATGTACTTTACATATAATTAATTAGCTTGTGTAGTTACATAACTTTTTACTCTTGAATAAATTTCTGTCCAAAACTCATATACTACAGATACAATTTTGTCAACTAGGCATACAAACATACATATATATATATATATATATATATATATGCGCACAATAAAAGGCAAACAAGCCCCTTACATCTGAGCTGCTAATATTTCATTCCAGGTATCAGGAATCCCAGGCAAACACCAATGTAAACAATCATACCCACCAGAAGTTCCAACCACACTATACCGAGCTTTATGACCTTCATCTCTCAACTCAGAAAGAGCTGTAACATCCAAAATCTTCACCTTCGTCCCCTTCACAGCACTCTCCACAACTCCATCACTCGACCCATCCAGCAAAACTTGGTTTCCTCGACTCATTGGAACAGTATTATTACAGCTCCCTCCAGTATTCCATTCCCCATTAAAGAAATGTCTAGGAGAGGTACTCCTGAAAAAAGCTTTAAGCTTAGGATTGTATCTCATTTCACCATCAACCCAGTTAACAATACTATGTACTGTAAAGTTCTTAGCTCTCCCAAAATCATTTAGTGACTTATCTTGATTTGGGTATCCATTTACGTAAAATACCCGGTGGTTTTTTTGTAGTTTTCTTTTGTTCCAGTGATGACCAGTGTTTAGAACTAGTACGTCGAATTGATGAATGTATTTTGTGAGGAAATCTGGAGGTTTATCTAGATGCATGGCGATTTTAACGTCTGGATTTTGTGATGTAGTAGTGTTGATTTGCTCAAGATTAGAGAGAGTTGCAGACCAGTAATAGAGAATAGTTGTGTTGGTGATTGGAAATCTATAAGCCCAACCATTTGGACGAATGGCTCCGGGGGGTAAAGCAAGATCATATTCTTCCCCAACATTTTTAACTTCTGAGTTATTAAAATCTTCTCCACCAGTCACCATACACATCATGGACTGAAATTGTTGTCTACCCAATGAATCTCCAACAAAAGCAATTGCTTTATTCTTCATCCTACAAATGATTCTAATTTTATGTTATTAGTCATGTCTTAGGTGTAAACTTGAAGGATCAATTAAATATCGAACGCAAATAAATTAAATAATAAATATGTAACACGAGTATCTTATTAGTTATATGATATACAAAAATCTTAAATACTATGTTTCATTCTCATTTTATTAAAAAAATTAATTTCTATTATGCACACAATCATAAAAAATAAAGAATAGAATAAGAAAAACTAAAAGATCTACTATGATTCGACAAATACACATACATTTACGGATAAAATCGAGAAAAAACTTTTATAGTATGACAAAATAATGATACATCACCAATAAAAATGTAAACTCTTATATAGAGAAGTTACGAGAGTATTTTTTACAAAAAATTTACCATAATATACACAAAATATTTTTTAAAATATATACATAAAATATCTTTTAGAATATATACAAAATATCTCAAAAATAAACATAAAATATTTTTTAAAATAAATATAAAATATCTCTCGAGATATATACAAAATTATCTCTTAAGATATTTCTAAAATCAAACTACATCAACATATTTTCTAAAATGAATACTGTGAATGAGGCAAATCATATACTTACATAAGAGATGAGAAAGACTTAGCCCTATATGAAATCTTGAAAATATGTCAAATTGTTTAATATAGTCTACCTTGACAAGAATGCAAATGGATCAAAATCTGGCATTTCACATTCACTTGGCTCCCATTTGTATCCTTCATAAGAGAAATCTATACGATTAGTTAGTCTACATGCCCAGTTTCTTGACAACCATCTTTTACATCCAAACCCTGAGTATAAAGGTCTTCTGTTGTCTGCAACCCATCTACCTTTCCAGTAGTTACAATCTGTATGTATAACTCAACTCATCATAAACATCAACCTGGTTCTTTATGAGCAATATATACACTTACAAAGTATATGCGGAATATATATGTATATATGTAATGAGTGGATAGAGATTATATATGTACAGACCTTGAGGTTTTGATGATAGAGAAGAAGGTTTGATGAATTGATTTTGAGCCCAGAAGAGAGAAGTAAGAAAAGGAGTAATGTTCTCCCAATCAGAAAGGATTATGGTGGTAACAGTAAGAACAATGAATGTAAGACAAATATCTACGAATCTAATTGACTTGTAATGTCTTCCTGATCTTTTCATTTTTATTCATATATATAAATTAGCAGATCCTCCCTTTTGATCTATATATATATATACACACACACACACACTTATATATATCTCCCTTCAAACGGTCTGCACTTTGTTTCCTTATAGGAATATAGATACAGCTGATGATCTTCTAATCGTCTCTGCAACAAAAAAAAAAAAAGGACATAAAGTAGTACTGAATTTAATTTAAAATACTTTAGCATTCCCAAAAAATCTGAGATTAAAATTTTTTTAATCAAAATAATAATTGAAAGAAAACCAAAACCCAAGGACATGTTGTTTGTTAATTATTGAGTAATCATAAAGTTATAGCCATTCACTACATAATGAGAAACGATGACATATATATATATATATATGTATGTAGTTATGAAAATTAGAAAAGATGACATGCAATATACCATAAAACAAATTAACTAAGGTAATTAAAAAAGAAAAAGAAAAGAGAAAGAAAGCCAACCTTACAGCTCCCTCGTCTGCTAATTATTCTTCTTGTTCTTTAGATTCTTCTCGTACTAATATCAGAAAGAAAGGCATTATAAATAATATTAGGGTTCTGGGGATATGACCAAGGGCTTTGTGTATATATAAATATAAATTATATATATATATATATTTATATAGTAGCAGTAAATAATTAATTAATAACAATAGTGATGAGTGAAAAGGAATTTCCAAGAGAATAAATATGATTATACCTATTTATTTAAGAATAATTATATCATGATATATATATATATATATATACACATCAAGATTATTGCATATTATAATAATCTACAATTCACTCCAATCACTTGATTATTTTGTGTGTTTTTTCCCCATGTTCATGTCCAGCTCTCACTTCTTCATTAATAATATCTTTTTCCCATCATTTACACTAGAAATTGATGTATCATTATTCAATTTATATATGAACTAAACTGTCTTTTAATTTCACCAAAATTTTCAATTGCTATTATTTCTTTATCCCCCAATAACAGCATCTTATACCCTCAATTTAATTAATAAATACATAAATTTATTAAAAAAAAATTACATTGAATCTGCAAAATTAAATTATACGGCTCAAGTTATATTCAAACTTCAATTTCTTCTTGCTTGTTTCTTTTTGTTAAAAAAATCAAACATAATATTCACATTAAGCAGATTTTTAAGGTTAAATTAATTTAAGCAGTGAGTTATTATTTTTAAAATAAATTATCAAATTAATTTTTCAATATTTGATACTTGTTATAATTTGCTATCCAATTTTTTTTTTTTACAATTTGATCCCTGATTTTTGTTTATATTTGTTTCGGACGTTCAGTTTCTTTCCATTTTCTAAAATTGTTATATTATGTTTGCATATTTTAGAAAATAACTTAAAAAATGACTATAACTAATTAATTAAATTAATGTATTAACAGTTTTATTAATTAAGTTAATTAATTAAAATTATTTTTTAAAATACCAAACATAATTTAATTATTTTAATTTTTTTGTTAAAAAAAAGTAAACTAAAAATTTGAAACAAATAGAAAACGTTATAAATTAAATTGTAACGAACAAGAATATTAAAAATCAAATTATAACAATTGTCAAATTTTATGAATCAATTTGGTAATTAATATTTATTATTATTAATTATTATTTGTTTTCATATTTATTATTATAAATAAAAATAATAGAATCCACTTCACTTCAAACATTAGCCCATTATTATTTGGATTAATGTAAACTAATTACATTCCAAATAGTTTAGCTCCAATTTCTGTTTGAAATTCACAAGCCCATATTCAAACAACAAACTTAGCCCACTCTATTTCATATCACAAGTCCGACTCATTTCTCCACCAAACCCAACGCAGACCAATACTGTAACGACCGAAAACTTAAAAGGAAATAAATTATAAATTGAGTGTGGAAGCAAAATAATAAATTTAAAATTTACATTGCTTATACAATAATTTAAAATATCCAATAGAATTATAAAAAAAATTAAAGAAATAAATGAAAAGTAAACAACCGGACATCCTATTCACAACCCTCTTGTGGATCGAGATTTGAATCTTGATCTTGTTGATCTGAAATGGTTAATTAAAAAGAGTGAGCTATACTAACTTAATAAGAATGTCACACTACTCACCGATACAGAAATGAATGTTGGTAAAAATCATAAAAATAACTAATAGAGCTCTTAATTTAGGTAAATTCATTTATCATAAATAAAATCATTTATTACATACTTACCATAGCGAGATTTTTAAAACTGACTTATAAAGGAAATAACGCAAACAATATAATAATCTCATTTTTAATTAGCCAGAATAATAATTTTTTCTTTTTATCTACATATTGGTATCCATTGGGGTCCAAAGGGATGTCCCTACTACGCGTAAACCTTTATTCAACATTGTCAATTAACCGGTCGTCCCATACCCCATCTGATATGAGCGCAAAAACTATCATCCATCAATACTTCGTCTGATATGAGAGTGAAACGGACTGTTACTATACCCCATTTGGTATGAGAGCCAAAATACCAATCCTCGATACTCCATCTGATATGAGGCAACGTTCACGGTAGGGTTCCCTATATACCCGATCCATCCACCATCTCTCAGGATATCCAGTAAGGCTACCATTTATCAATTCACTTAATCAAGCAATTTTTCGTTTACATTTAATTTTCAGTTTCACATTTTAACTATAAATCATGTAAAATAAGCAATACATACATCAATAAAACACAATT